TTCTTCATAGTGTTGTTGCTGCTGTTTTTTTTTCTTCTTTGTAGTCATTTTTTTATTCTTCATAGAGTTCTTATTCTTCGTAGTCGTCTTCTTTTTCTTCAACCTTTTTTGTAGTCTTTTTCTTCTCCATCTTCTTCATAGCCGTCGTCTTCTTATTTTTCTTGTTCGTAATCATCTTCTTCTCTATCATCGTTGTTTTCATAGTCTACTTCTTACTCGTAGTCTTCATGTCCTTATTTGTAGTCTTCATATTCTTCTTTGTAATTTTCTTCTTCATAGTAGTAGTATTCTTCCTTCTTCATGGTATTGTTCTTCTTTTTCATAGTCGTCTTCTTGTTCTCTTTCTTCTTCACAGTCTTCCTCTTCGTAGTCTTTGTCTCCATAGTCTTCGTCATCGAAGTCTTCCTCTCTATCATTTGTTATCATAATCGTCTTCTTCGTACTCATTGTCTTCTCATAATCGTCTTATTTTTCTTGTTCGTAATCATCTTCTTCCCTACTCCATTTTTTTTCTCTTTGTATGCTTCTACTTCTTCGTAGTCTTCTTCTTTGTCGTCGTCTTATTCGTAGTCTTCTTATTCTTCTTCATAGTGTTGTTGCTGCTGTTTTTTTTTCTTCTTTGTAGTCATTTTTTTATTCTTCATAGAGTTCTTATTCTTCGTAGTCGTCTTCTTTTTCTTCAACCTTTTTTGTAGTCTTTTTCTTCTCCATCTTCTTCATAGCCGTCGTCTTCTTATTTTTCTTGTTCGTAATCATCTTCTTCTCTATCATCGTTGTTTTCATAGTCTACTTCTTACTCGTAGTCTTCATGTCCTTATTTGTAGTCTTCATATTCTTCTTTGTAATTTTCTTCTTCATAGTAGTAGTATTCTTCCTTCTTCATGGTATTGTTCTTCTTTTTCATAGTCGTCTTCTTGTTCTCTTTCTTCTTCACAGTCTTCCTCTTCGTAGTCTTTGTCTCCATAGTCTTCGTCATCGAAGTCTTCCTCTCTATCATTTGTTATCATAATCGTCTTCTTCGTACTCATTGTCTTCTCATAATCGTCTTATTTTTCTTGTTCGTAATCATCTTCTTCCCTACTCCATTTTTTTTCTCTTTGTATGCTTCTACTTCTTCGTAGTCTTCTTCTTTGTCGTCGTCTTATTCGTAGTCTTCTTATTCTTCTTCATAGTGTTGTTGCTGCTGTTTTTTTTTCTTCTTTGTAGTCATTTTTTTATTCTTCATAGAGTTCTTATTCTTCGTAGTCGTCTTCTTTTTCTTCAACCTTTTTTGTAGTCTTTTTCTTCTCCATCTTCTTCATAGCCGTCGTCTTCTTATTTTTCTTGTTCGTAATCCTCTTCTTCTCTATCATCGTTGTTTTCATAGTCTACTTCTTACTCGTAGTCTTCATGTCCTTATTTGTAGTCTTCATATTCTTCTTTGTAATTTTCTTCTTCATAGTAGTAGTATTCTTCCTTCTTCATGGTATTGTTCTTCTGTTTCATAGTCGTCTTCTTGTTCTCTTTCTTCTTCACAGTCTTCCTCTTCGTAGTCTTTGTCTCCATAGTCTTCGTCATCGAAGTCTTCCTCTCTATCATTTGTTATCATAATCGTCTTCTTCGTACTCATTGTCTTCTCATAATCGTCTTATTTTTCTTGTTCGTAATCATCTTCTTCCCTACTCCATTTTTTTTTCTCTTTGTATGCTTCTACTTCTTCGTAGTCTTCTTATTCTTCTTCATAGTGTTGTTGCTGCTGTTTTTTTTTCTTCTTTGTAGTCATTTTTTTATTCTTCATAGAGTTCTTATTCTTCGTAGTCGTCTTCTTTTTCTTCAACCTTTTTTGTAGTCTTTTTCTTCTCCATCTTCTTCATAGCCGTCGTCTTCTTATTTTTCTTGTTCGTAATCGTCTTCTTCTCTATCATCGTTGTTTTCATAGTCTACTTCTTACTCGTAGTCTTCATGTCCTTATTTGTAGTCTTCATATTCTTCTTTGTAATTTTCTTCTTCATAGTAGTAGTATTCTTCCTTCTTCATGGTATTGTTCTTCTTTTTCATAGTCGTCTTCTTGTTCTCTTTCTTCTTCACAGTCTTCCTCTTCGTAGTCTTTGTCTCCATAGTCTTCGTCATCGAAGTCGTCCTCTCTATCATTTGTTATCATAATCGTCTTCTTCGTACTCATTGTCTTTTCATAATCGTCTTATTTTTCTTGTTCGTAATCATCTTCTTCCCTACTCCATTGTTTTTCTCTTTGTATGCTTCTACTTCTTCGTAGTCTTCTTCTTTGTCGTCGTCTTATTCGTAGTCTTCTTATTCTTCTTCATAGTGTTGTTGCTGCTGTTTTTTTTTCTTCTTTGTAGTCATTTTTTTATTCTTCATAGAGTTCTTATTCTTCGTAGTCGTCTTCTTTTTCTTCAACCTTTTTTGTAGTCTTTTTCTTCTCCATCTTCTTCATAGCCGTCGTCTTCTTATTTTTCTTGTTCGTAATCATCTTCTTCTCTATCATCGTTGTTTTCATAGTCTACTTCTTACTCGTAGTCTTCATGTCCTTATTTGTAGTCTTCATATTCTTCTTTGTAATTTTCTTCTTCATAGTAGTAGTATTCTTCCTTCTTCATGGTATTGTTCTTCTGTTTCATAGTCGTCTTCTTGTTCTCTTTCTTCTTCACAGTCTTCCTCTTCGTAGTCTTTGTCTCCATAGTCTTCGTCATCGAAGTCTTCCTCTCTATCATTTGTTATCATAATCGTCTTCTTCGTACTCATTGTCTTCTCATAATCGTCTTATTTTTCTTGTTCGTAATCATCTTCTTCCCTACTCCATTTTTTTTCTCTTTGTATGCTTCTACTTCTTCGTAGTCTTCTTCTTTGTCGTCGTCTTATTCGTAGTCTTCTTATTCTTCTTCATAGTGTTGTTGCTGCTGTTTTTTTTTCTTCTTTGTAGTCATTTTTTTATTCTTCATAGAGTTCTTATTCTTCGTAGTCGTCTTCTTTTTCTTCAACCTTTTTTGTAGTCTTTTTCTTCTCCATCTTCTTCATAGCCGTCGTCTTCTTATTTTTCTTGTTCGTAATCATCTTCTTCTCTATCATCGTTGTTTTCATAGTCTACTTCTTACTCGTAGTCTTCATGTCCTTATTTGTAGTCTTCATATTCTTCTTTGTAATTTTCTTCTTCATAGTAGTAGTATTCTTCCTTCTTCATGGTATTGTTCTTCTTTTTCATAGTCGTCTTCTTGTTCTCTTTCTTCTTCACAGTCTTCCTCTTCGTAGTCTTTGTCTCCATAGTCTTCGTCATCGAAGTCTTCCTCTCTATCATTTGTTATCATAATCGTCTTCTTCGTACTCATTGTCTTCTCATAATCGTCTTATTTTTCTTGTTCGTAATCATCTTCTTCCCTACTCCATTTTTTTTCTCTTTGTATGCTTCTACTTCTTCGTAGTCTTCTTCTTTGTCGTCGTCTTATTCGTAGTCTTCTTATTCTTCTTCATAGTGTTGTTGCTGCTGTTTTTTTTTCTTCTTTGTAGTCATTTTTTTATTCTTCATAGAGTTCTTATTCTTCGTAGTCGTCTTCTTTTTCTTCAACCTTTTTTGTAGTCTTTTTCTTCTCCATCTTCTTCATAGCCGTCGTCTTCTTATTTTTCTTGTTCGTAATCATCTTCTTCTCTATCATCGTTGTTTTCATAGTCTACTTCTTACTCGTAGTCTTCATGTCCTTATTTGTAGTCTTCATATTCTTCTTTGTAATTTTCTTCTTCATAGTAGTAGTATTCTTCCTTCTTCATGGTATTGTTCTTCTTTTTCATAGTCGTCTTCTTGTTCTCTTTCTTCTTCACAGTCTTCCTCTTCGTAGTCTTTGTCTCCATAGTCTTCGTCATCGAAGTCTTCCTCTCTATCATTTGTTATCATAATCGTCTTCTTCGTACTCATTGTCTTCTCATAATCGTCTTATTTTTCTTGTTCGTAATCATCTTCTTCCCTACTCCATTTTTTTTCTCTTTGTATGCTTCTACTTCTTCGTAGTCTTCTTCTTTGTCGTCGTCTTATTCGTAGTCTTCTTATTCTTCTTCATAGTGTTGTTGCTGCTGTTTTTTTTTCTTCTTTGTAGTCATTTTTTTATTCTTCATAGAGTTCTTATTCTTCGTAGTCGTCTTCTTTTTCTTCAACCTTTTTTGTAGTCTTTTTCTTCTCCATCTTCTTCATAGCCGTCGTCTTCTTATTTTTCTTGTTCGTAATCATCTTCTTCTCTATCATCGTTGTTTTCATAGTCTACTTCTTACTCGTAGTCTTCATGTCCTCATTTGTAGTTTTCATATTCTTCTTTGTAATTTTCTTCTTCATAGTAGTAGTATTCTTCCTTCTTCATGGTATTGTTCTTCTTTTTCATAGTCGTCTTCTTGTTCTCTTTCTTCTTCACAGTCTTCCTCTTCGTAGTCTTTGTCTCCATAGTCTTCGTCATCGAAGTCTTCCTCTCTATCATTTGTTATCATAATCGTCTTCTTCGTACTCATTGTCTTCTCATAACCGTCTTATTTTTCTTGTTCCTAATCATCTTCTTCCCTACTCCATTTTTTTTCTCTTTGTATGCTTCTACTACTTTGTAGTCTTCTTCTTTGTCGTCGTCTTATTCGTAGTCTTCTTATTCTTCTTCATAGTGTTGTTGCTGCTGTTTTTTTTTTCTTCTTTGTAGTCATTTTTTTATTCTTCATAGAGTTCTTATTCTTCGTAGTCGTCTTCTTTTTCTTCAACCTTTTTTGTAGTCTTTTTCTTCTCCATCTTCTTCATAGCCGTCGTCTTCTTATTTTTCTTGTTGGTAATCGTCTTCTTCTCTATCATCGTTGTTTTCATAGTCTACTTCTTACTCGTAGTCTTCATGTCCTTATTTGTAGTCTTCATATTCTTCTTTGTAATTTTCTTCTTCATAGTAGTAGTATTCTTCCTTCTTCATGGTATTGTTCTTCTTTTTCATAGTCGTCTTCTTGTTCTCTTTCTTCTTCACAGTCTTCCTCTTCGTAGTCTTTGTCTCCATAGTCTTCGTCATCGAAGTCTTCTTCTCTATCATTTGTTATCATAATCGTCTTCTTCGTACTCGTTGTCTTCTTATTTTCTTCTTCGTAGTATTTTTTTTGTAGTCATCTTCATCTTCATAGTCTTCTTCGCGGTCATCTTCTCTTCTTCTTCGTAGTGTGGTTGTTTAGCAGTGTTCTTCTTATTAGTAGTCTTCATGTCCTTATTTGTAGTCTTCATATTCTTCTTTGTAATTTTCTTCTTCATAGTAGTAGTATTCTTCCTTCTTCATGGTATTATTCTTCTTTTTCATAGTCGTCTTCTTGTTCTCTTTCTTCTTCACAGTCTTCCTCTTCGTAGTCTTTGTCTCCATAGTCTTCGTCATCGAAGTCTTCTTCTCTATCATTTGTTATCATAATCGTCTTCTTCGTACTCATTGTCTTCTCATAATCGTCTTATTTTTCTTGTTCGTAATCATCGTCTTCCCTACTCCATTTTTTTTCTCTTTGTATGCTTCTACTTCTTCGTAGTCTTCTTCTTTGTCGTCATCTTATTCGTAGTCTTCTTATTCTTCTTCATAGTGTTGTTGCTGCTGTTTTTTTTTCTTCTTTGTAGTCATTTTTTTATTATTCATAGAGTTCTTATTCTTCGTAGTCGTCTTCTTTTTCTTCAACCTTTTTTGTAGTCTTTTTCTTCTCCATCTTCTTCATAGCCGTCGTCTTCTTATTTTTCTTGTTCGTAATCATCTTCTTCTCTATCATCGTTGTTTTCATAGTCTACTTCTTACTCGTAGTCTTCATGTCCTTATTTGTAGTCTTCATATTCTTCTTTGTAATTTTCTTCTTCATAGTAGTAGTATTCTTCCTTCTTCATGGTATTGTTCTTCTTTTTCATAGTCGTCTTCTTGTTCTCTTTCTTCTTCACAGTCTTCCTCTTCGTAGTCTTTGTCTCCATAGTCTTCGTCATCGAAGTCTTCTTCTCTATCATTTGTTATCATAATCGTCTTCTTCGTACTCGTTGTCTTCTTATTTTCTTCTTCGTAGTATTTTTTTTGTAGTCATCTTCATCTTCATAGTCTTCTTCGCGGTCATCTTCTCTTCTTCTTCGTAGTGTGGTTGTTTAGCAGTGTTCTTATTAGTAGTCTTCATGTCCTTATTTGTAGTCTTCATATTCTTCTTTGTAATTTTCTTCTTCATAGTAGTAGTATTCTTCCTTCTTCATGGTATTGTTCTTCTTTTTCATAGTCGTGTTCTTGTTCTCTTTCTTCTTCACAGTCTTCCTCTTCGTAGTCTTTGTCTCCATAGTCTTCGTCATCGAAGTCTTCTTCTCTATCATTTGTTATCATAATCGTCTTCTTCGTACTCATTGTCTTCTTATTTTCTTCTTCGTAGTATTTTTTTTTGTAGTCATCTTCATCTTCATAGTCTTCTTTGCGGTCATCTTCTCTTCTTCTTCGTAGTGTGGTTGTTTAGCAGTGTTCTTCTTATTAGTAGTCTTCTTACTCTTTTTCTTCTTCTTCAAAGTGTTCACTTTCTTCTTCTTCATAGTGTTCACTTTCTTCGTCTTCTTTTTCGTAGTCAGCTGATGGCTCTTTTTCTTGTTTGTAGTCCTCTTCTTTGTAGTCTTCTCATTCGTATTCTTAAACTTCTTTGTTGTCTTCATTGTTGTAATCTTCTTCCTCGTAGTCATCTATTTATTTTTCTTCTTTGTAGTCTTCGTGTTCTCCATCTACTTTCTTTGTTTCTAAACTTCGTTAACCACAATGAACACTTAACTAATGCAACCTTAAAATTTTCTTCAAGAGAAATCAATTCAAAAACTGAGTGGATTCTTGTAATTCAAAAAAAAAAAAAAAAAATCAAATCAACGAAGTTTCAAAGTCAAAACAAATTTTGGACTGAAGTTCAAAGTAAAATCTCAAATAAAGCCTGTCTATAAATGCTGTTGATTAAATAACTAGGCATGTTACAGGTGCGCCATTTGTACTACTTAAAAAAGATGCATCGAACAGTAAGTATACTAATTAATAAGCAGGGGAAGCAATATATACAGTCAAAACATGCAAAAACCTTCCATGTGATGAAGTGACCAATACATCCTTTACATTCCTCAAAAGGCAATAGAGAACAAATAAAAAATAAAAAGACAATGACAAGAAGAATGCATCCCAACTACCATGAACCCTAATTAGCATTTTAAAGATTAAAAGCACAATGTTTAGCGTGGCAGTGCTGCAACTTCTACATTCAATTTCGAGCAGCACAACCCAGCACGATTGGATTAGAAATTCTTCAATTTCTCTAAAAAAATTCACAATACCTCTATTAGCACTCTCTTTGCCAAGGTTATCTATTTGACATGGTTATTTGGTGTTTGCTGAGTCAGGGGCAAGCCAAGAATGGATAAGAGTTTCTTTCGTGCCCTTGAATCCAAAGTCAATACACAGTGCTGACTTTTAGAGATTATCAAAGACAACTAGATTGTAATTATGGAACATGAAAGAACTTGTCTAGCAATGGGTTGCAAACACCAATACACCAATATACAACAGCAGTTGACGTACACGTAACTGTAATTCAGAATCATATAACACAAACCTTGCTTGGCCGTATCTGTGCTTTCAAGTTTTGAAACCTGTAAGCCCATTCCCAGGATATCCTTGGCATCTGCATCAAATACTCACAGGTTCAAAATTTATATAGCACACAACAAACAAAAAATGTAGCCCCTGGCCTCCAACACCAAAGCCAAATTGATTGGAATTCGCAAAAAAATTCTTACAATGATCTTACACCAAAGCTGTATCACCTTGACATAGCTAAAATCCCGCTTAATAGCACCCACTGTCAGCCTAGTAAAATAGATTAAAAAAAACCACTGCCTGACAGTTACAATCTCTTAAGCAACCATGAAAAAAGTATCAACTACTGGATGAGTACCAACCCTTGAATTTAGACGAAGCTTTGTTTATTAAATTCAGAGTCAAGGAAAATCTTATCAGAGGTCCAAGGATATAATTGTCATTAAACCTAGACCACAATGATCTACATCTATATCACCATAGCACTTGTTGGATCATTGGCATCACTTCTTTTCTCAACACGTCTACCGGCATTCTTTCACAACATTTTAAGTCCTCTGGTCCTAGTAGCCCCCCCTTCACAGAAATTAAATCACTCATCTTTACTTCTTCATTTATTGGTCTCACAATGTGCATGATCAATCGATCATAGGTGAACTCCACTTCTATTATCCTAAATTGGTGCCCCTTCAAGGTTTGAACAAAGAGCACATTAGTTTTCTAATCTTCACATTCTCTAATCCACACAATCACAAAAAAAAAAAAAAAAAAAGAAGAAGAATTAGAGAGAAGTTGTCTTCATTACCTAGAAAGAAGAGGAATAACAATTAGTAAGAGTAACTGGCCAATGTGGTTAAAAATGAAATATAAAGATCAAAACATCTTGAATGTACCATTTTACCAATGTGGTTAAAAAATGAAATTCAAAGATCGAAACTTCTAAAAATGAACCCAATGAAAAATATGAGGCTGTAATATATACCTATATCTATGAAATTTCTATGATGTGACCCTCACTTTTTGGCAGACTAACTCCCTTAAAATATAAGCTAATATTTTACTAGAGAGCTTCCTCATCTACTTCAGCTTGCTTTTCACTTTCCCCTGGGTTAGAAATACATGTCATATCACTTAAACAGATCATGCACGTAATGAGATATCAACAGTCTCACTTTTTCAACGTGAATCTAAACTAAGATAAGAAGATACCGAGGAACATAATTGAACATTAATGACCCAGCTGAAAGTACCATACTGACGTAGAATAAGAAAGGGCAAAAAAGGTAGTGCAGAAAATGAACCACACCTCTTTGAGTAATGATGAAACCTGACAGCTCATCTTCCTGCATGGCAATTGTCCTCAAGGCAGTCAAGAAATCCTCAGGAAATACTCGACGGTCTGCGCACTTATTGTTGCTTTTGGTTTGTGGTGTTCTGCGTCTGCATGCTGGAAAAAAAAACCATGATCTAGCAAACTTATTCGTAAAAGACACCTCAACTCAGCTTTCTGTAAACACCACCACGCAAGTACATCAACAAAGCAAATGCACATACATTTAAAGAAAAAATATAGACCCATGCATGCATACCTAAGTAAAAGACATGAACCTAAACAGGTATAAATTAAGTCATATGCATGCAATAAAACTTGCATTACTCCACTGGAGCCATTAACTATGCTTTTGGAACAGTTAATTTTGATAAATAAAAAAAATTACATGAAAATGCATGATAAGAACACATAAATGGCTGACCTGTGCTTCAAGAATCTGAAATTTGGAGTCAGAAAAAGGAATACTCTGGATAGCCTCTATTGGGTAATGAAGCTGTGGAATTTGTTGAAGTCCGAAAATGTTACAAATCCTGGGTTGTTACAAGTGGATACTAAGTTTTCCAGTAATAAATTATCATGAGAGAGTCATCTGGGTTGTTCATGACAAATCCATATAGGTAGAGCAGTTCCTGCACCCAATGACAGCAAACGAACGAGAAAAAGAACCAACTCACAGTTCAGCAACACCAACTCCCCTATCCTTAAAAAAAGACAAAGAAAAAGAACGGACTTAAAAGGAATTGGCTATAACCATATACAATGATGACAGTTAGAGTTACTAGTACCATGTCCAATAAGATCATATATCATATTGAGCAGTACTGAAGACATAGAAACGATAAAAATTAACTAATCCAAAGTTTCATCCAAGAGCTACAAAGCAGGCTATTACCGGTGCAGAAGCACAGCATGCTCATCGTCAGATGTATAAAGTTCATATTGCTTAGCAAAAGCATTCCCCAAAGAAATCACCCAATCAGCATCTTAATTCACATCCGAAGATTCTGCAGAAACTGTCCTCCAAAAATAGAGACATAACAGCGAAAGTATTTCCAGGAGTTAGTACTTCCTTTCATTTCATAGAACTCAAGATGAATCTATTTTATTCTGTTGTAGCATGTAAAGTAATAATTCCTATGCACTCATGTGGTTTACAAAAGATATATATGATAACTAAATTGTGTCAATCACAGTCTATAATCTCAGCGATTCAATCAGAACATTTCGATTACATGCTCAGATGCAGGGAAGACATGAAAAAATTTGGTTCCATGTTTTTTATAACCTCACCTGTCCTATGTAAACCATGGAGTCTGGGGCAAGTTAAGCATTTTGCACAATGTATTCAAACAATAATAACCAGGACAAAATTGCACATGCAATTAAAACCCACGTCAGTCAAGTCAATAAAAATTTACATTGCATGTTTCTTGATTATTAAGGGTCTTGCTTTAGGTCTTCCGTGTCACTGACAAAGGCTTTCATTTTTAAAATCTAGAGCTTGCAAAACAAGAAAATCAGTTAGCAACTACAGCAAAGATAATTCTCTAACAGTAAAAAGTCCAATTAATGATGAACATCGACATAAAACATCATTTTCACATTGGTAGTTCACATGAGACACAATGAGAGAAACAACTTCACTGAACTTGACAAATGACCCTCTATATTCGTACATATCTACAATTATTGAGGAAAAAGATAAAAAGCTGCACAAGGGTTGTTTAGACTTGCAAATTACAGCACATATAGCAAGTGCACTATTAAACACTTTTCAAACTGCTAAAAACTTCGAGAATTCAACCAAACAAAGAAAAAAAAAGCTCTTACTCATCTTTGCAAATAACACTCTAATTTGATATATTTACGCAATTTTAGTGGAAATAAATTAAACAGCAGCTGGATTGCTCAACACCGTCGATATGCGTGTATAAGTGTTTGGGTGTGAAAGAAGAAGGGAAGAGGGAGGAGGGAAGGAGTACTACAAATTCACAGTTATTGAGGTGGAAAGGAGGTAGGTAAAATTATCAAAAAGTCCTACTTCCCCCCTGGAAAATACATTAAGCCCCTTTTTTGTTTCTGTTACATATGAACTTTCACGAATTTTCTAATCCTATGATAATTCCACTCTTTCCCTTGAGAATGTAAATTACATAAGTACCATTAAAGTCCTAATTTCTTCATACTCAGATTTGTTTTAATTTCACGGTATACATTTGAGACTCAAATCGGTTCTTTCATTACTAGTAACATTAAAGCACAAACATGTTTTGATATCCACCAGAAGTTCGTTAGAAAGCAGAACAAGTTGAATTATAGCCAATTGCACTATTATGCATGTCACCAAAATAAAAGGCCGCACTTTTTCCAAAAAAAATGTAATTTATATAATTTGTCAAGCTCTCTATAAAATAACACCCATTTAGTGGTAGTCCTGCTATCTGCTTCTTTACTTTCACATTAAATTGAAGTTGACTATGAAATCATGAGTGAAAGTGTCATTAGTGTTTCCATTAAAAGGGCAAAGCTGTAATAAGTATATGTGAATGGAGTCTAGAATATCTTGGAATAAACTATAGAGAGTAGGACTAGTTGTCTTAATAGAAGTTTGATGGGACTTAATAGTTCTTCAAAGGGAAAAGTAGGATCTAATGGTAACTTCCCAAGAAAACAGAGACAAATATGCCCTTCCAGTAGTTCTAAGGAATGGTATTACATGGAGTTCATTTTTTTTTCCAGATAGTTTGGGAGCTCAGCCACTGTCACTCCATTGTA